GCTACTGTACTACCACTCCTATCTCTGCCTCATGCTGCTGCGCAGCCTCGTCCCGGACATGCACGTACCTCATGGCAACCTCACTACGACCTACCTCCTTACACGCCGTAGCCATGATGCGTACTGACTCGTATGGACTCGCTGTATACGTACCGTTACCTCACCCCTCACGGACCGCGGCCTCGAGGCCTTTGTACTTATAAGAGGGACAACGCAGCATAGCGCTCCCCATCTTTCGACCTCCTGTATAGCTACGTCCTCTGGCCTAGTGCCAATCTACTCTCTTGCTTGCCTTCTACCTCGCTCACTCGCCAGTCCACTCGATAGTGCACTGTGCTTACTCGCGTCGGCATCAAGAGAACTCTCACAGACATAACCACTCGGCGTCTAGGCCTCGTTCCTGACGGAACTCGGACTTCGACGTAACACCCGCCCGCATGCGGGCCTGCTTCCCACCAGGGCGCATGTTCATCTCCGAGACTCGAAGTGCATCAGATGCATAAATGGAATGGCCTTGAGAGTGGTCAACCAGCACAGCAGCAATGACGTCCGGGTCATGAGCTGCCCGGAACACGGGAAGGAACTTTTCTTTGAGCTGAAGCAGTGTGGTCATGTTACTTCAGAGTCGCCACTCATGCCAGAATTTGTGAATCTCATACCTGCTGAACAAAGAGCTGGCCGTTCCAGAAACCCTCGTGGTTCTTCCCGTATTCCAGAGTGATTCCGGCGTCTTTCAGGTGGCCAACGGATGAGCAGATGAATTCGCTTTGATGGAGACCCCTCCCAGGGCCCTTCTTCTTCAAGGGCTGCTCGCCATTAAGGACCCAACTATACTTGATGCCGTCGTGAGCTTGTGCCGTCATTTCATCGTGAGCAACAAGGATGATTCGGGAGACACCGGGAGGGAGAGGGGGGTTGGGAGAGAGCTCCTTTGTGACGTCACCAACAACATATTTGATGAGCCGAGGGCGGATACTCTGCATGGCAGGGAGAAACCGAGAGGTTCGGTCTTCAACAACATCAGGCCGCTCATGACCGTCATAATATACAGCCTTCTTGTGCTGGGTACAAGCAAAGCCCTCCCGCAGCAAGAGACGACGGATGGAGGAGAGTGAGATGCCAAAACCACGTCAAGCAACCTTGACTTGCATGCGAGGGAGCAGAACTGTATCGATGAAGTGTTTGAGACCAAGGGGTATATCCTCTGATAGGATGCTGCTGACATAATTCATCACATCGCCGGATTCCATCTCGTTTTTGAGGAGTGACTGGAGCTTGCGTGGGTTGCGCACAGTCCATTTGTTGGAGCGAAGGTAAGTGCGGATCGCATCGCGCGCGGCCGGATCAGTGAGCAAGGATGTGATTTTGGAATGTGCGCCACGATGGGACTCTGGAAGGGTACGAGTTGCGACCCACTCGTGAACCCAAAGGCGAACGAGACGTGAGCCCCAGTTGCGCGCGAATTGATTTGCTTCAGCGGCTTTGCGAGACACCTCCATCATGCCCTGTCCGCCCTTGACCATCAAGTAAAGGCAGCTTTCAACGGCGTGTGCACGGTACGTCTGCAAGCTATTCTTCCCTCCCGTGAAGACAGTCTTCTGAGAAGATAGCAGCTTCGTGATAGCAGCCAGGGCAGCTTTGTTCGCCTGGTGTGCAAGCTCAGCCGCTTGCTTCCGGGCGATGCGCACTGGAACTTCGAGTTTGCGCCGTTTCCGACGGGAGGGTTGCACGTCTTCGGAAATCCGCAACGGGATTGTGGGGGCACAGGAAGCGGTGGTGTCGTGAGGTAAGGCTGCTTGAGAGTCCGGCTCACTTCGCGGGTAGAGCCGCGATTATCCGGAGCCGTGAGCCGGGGATCATGAGCCGGGCGGCTCCGGCTCTTTCCGGCTCCGGCTCCCAGCGACTCCGGATCAAGCAGACCAAAATATTGCGGGTCTGAGGCTCGATCCACGGATTATCCGCAGAGTCTTGAGTAATAGCTCATATTTGTGCATATGTACTATACCATTTGAAAGCAATTTGAAGAAGCTTTCTAACAGTATTATTTGCGTGTGATTTGGTACTCAAATGATCAAGATATGGATACAACACCATGTCCTTTCACTTGCGGCGCTTTTGGCGCCTGCATCCGGCGTCTGTCCGCGGGAATCCATCCCGATCGGGCAATGTTTGGATTCGAATGCGAGCGTCTTTCCCGTCCTCTGACCATCGATCAGCTCCTCCTCCGTTAATTCTCCACCCTCCATCCACGCGCCACCATCGCGCGGGCGAGCGCGGCCCTGTTTTCAAGCTCAGAGGTGTTATTGTGGGGTCGCGGTGAGTTCCTGCGGCCCCGATCTCTTCTGGTGAGTTCTCCCTCGTCCTTGCCCGTCTCGCGCTCGCGCTCACGCTCGTCCGCATTGCCCTTGTCCGCGCCGCTCTCGTCCACCTCACCCACTCCGCCTCACCACCTCGCCATCCCCCGGCTCACCCCTGCCCTGTGCCTCTGCCTCGTCCTCCCCCACCTTGCGTTGCCCCCCTCACCCGCGCTGCCCTCCGCCTCCTCAACCACGTCCCTACCCCTCCACCTCATCCCGCGTATCTGTCTCGCGTTGCCCACCACCCCCTCCGTGATCTTGGCGCCACGCGTCTCGCCCACGTCGCCCTCGCCCGCAGCCCACGTCGCCCACTGCCCCGCATCCCCCGATTCTCCGTCCATGTGGCGTCATCGCGCTCGCGCGCACGGCCGTTCTGTGGGGTCGCGGTGAGTTCTCGCGGCCCCGATCTTCTTTGGTAAGTCCTATCTGCTCCCCGTGTTGCCTCCCCCCTCCCTCTCCCAGGCTTACCTGACTTGCACTCGCGTTTGTCCATGTCGCGCTCTCCAGTACGCGCTCTCCGCCACGTCTGCGTCGCCTTCGCCTGTCATGGCTCTGCGGTACCTCGCACCCTCCTCTCTCCGCATCCTCTGCGGTTCTACTTGTGCTCCCGCGCTCTCCAACCCCTCCCCCTCGACCTGGCGCCCTCCATCCCCACGTTGTCCGTCCTCCACGTTGTCTGTCCACCCCCGCGTCCACCCCCGTGCCCCCTGCATCCCACGCCTTGTCCACGTCGCCCCCGCGTCGCCGACCTCATCCACCGCCCACTGCCTCATGTGCGTCGCCTACTTCACCCCGCCTGCCCCGCGTCGCCTAACCCTCGGCGTTATCGCTCTCCCGCGTGCGGCCGTTCTGTCAGAATCCAGGTGTGGTTTCCACTGGTGTATTACAATTCCCCACGTATCTGGCGCAACCGTTTTGCAGACCCTGCCCAAGTTATCATTGTGATACCAGCTGCCTGATCTAAACACAGGACTATAACAGAAACTATCCAGCGTTGCTTATGACCAAGGGAGAAATGACAACCACTATCCAAGAGTTGCCATCGCTAACGGGAAAAGTCACAGCAGTTACTAGAGGTCGTGACTGTGGGCATGAAGAAATACAATTACTGTTCTTCGCTGTGATAAAGGTCATGGTTATGACAGGGATCCTTGTTCGCTGGGATAACAGTCGCGGTTATCACACAGATCCTCATTCGCTGCGATAATGGTCGTGGGTATGACAGGGATCCTTGTTCGCTGTGATAACGGTTGTGGTTATCACACAGAACCTCGTTCGCTGCAATAATGGTCATGGGTATGACTGGGTGCCATTGTGGTTATCACACAGATCCTTGTTCGCTGCGATAACGATTGTGGTTATCACAGGGATCCTCATTTGCTGTGATAATGGTCGTGGGTATGACAGGGATCCTTGTTCGCTGTGATAACGATTGTGGTTATCACAGGGATCCTCATTTGCTGTGATAATGGTCGTGGGTATGACAGGGATCCTTGTTCGCTGTGATAACGGTTGTGCTTATCACACAGAACCTTGTTCGCTGCGATAACGATCATGGTTATCACAGGGATTCTTGTTCGCTGTGATAACGATTGTGGTTATCACAGGGATCCTCATTTGGAATCTGTGTGATAACCACAATCATTATCACAGCAAACAAGCGTCCCAGTCATACCCACAACCATTATCGCAGCGAACGCGGATCCCTGTCATAACCACGATCATTATCACAGCGAACGAGGTTCTGTGTGATAACCACAACCGTTATCACAGCGAACGAGGATCCCTGTCATAACCACGATCGTTATCACAGCGAACGAGGATCCCTGTCATAACCAATGATCATTATCATAGCAAACAAAGTTCTTTGTCATAACCACACCCATTATCACAGCGTACGAGCTGCCCTGTCATAACCACAATCGTTATCACAGCAAACAACATTTTCTGTCATAGCCATGTGAGCAGCTGTCAATCGCCGGGAGCATCCGTTGCCACAGCCTATTGGCAGGGTGCGGATGTATCCTGTGATCCGTGATACGCGCCAGTGGAGACGCGGCTCCGTGGGCGGCAACCTGTTTGGCTGTGATGCCCGCCACGCTAAGGCTGTTTGAGGCTCCACCCGCGGATGATCCGGAGTCTTATCCGTGGATCATGGCCGCTCGGGAAGCTTGATCCGGAGCCGCATGGCTCAGATCCTCTGGAAGACCCGGAGTCGTGGGAGCCGGACCCGCAGCTCACGGATCCACCTGCGGATAGAGCCGTGAGCCGAGGTGATCCATGGATATCCATGAATACGGATCATTCAGAACATACGCACAGCGCGAAGAACACGCAGGGTTCAGGAACAGGCAGTGGGGGCAAGACTCTGGAGGACACGCATTGTATAACAGATATTGCACAACAGATGAATCATGAGAGCATGCAAAGGAAGAGACCGCACCGCGTGTGAAGGAAGAGATCGCGGCACGCGTGAAGGAGGAGCCCGCTGCGTGCGCGGAGGTGTGCCACACGCAAAGGAAGAGACTGCACCACACGCGAAGGAAGAGACCGCACCGCGCGCGAAGGAAGAGTTCGCGGCACGCGCAAAGGAAGAGTTCGCAGCACGCGCGAAGGAAGAGCTCGCGGCACGCGCGAAGGGAGGGGCCACAGGCGCGCGCAAGGGGGGATGCTGTGGCGTGCATGAAGGAGGGGACCACGGGCACACGCGAAGGAAGAGATTACAAGGAGAGCACCCCATCGCGAAGGGGTGGAGCGTGTGGAGGAGACCGCACGAGGGGGGAGAACGGACGGAATGTGGGAAGGGAGAATATAGATTCGATGTCGACAGAGAACCACATTGGTGGTAAGGGCGAGGGACTACACAAATACATGGCTACTAATCAATGTTGATGACTGCAGCGGAGGCAGGGGCGGCAGCAGCAGAGGTAGACGCGGCAGCAGCAGCTGCAGCACGACGAGCACGCGCGACCTTCTTGTCCTTGAGGAACTCGACCATCTGGTCCTCTGGAAGGAGGCCGGGGACGCGCGCCCAAGAACCCAGGATAGTGTTTGCGCGAACACTGTCATTGCCGAGGGAACGACGGAGGCGGGACACAGTGAGGCGGCCGCGAGAGAATGCCCTCTCCGCATCAGTCGAGGTAGCTGAGGGTGTTGTCGTAAGTTGGTTAGAAGAAGAACAGTGTTGAATGGTGACATACCAGGGATAGAAAGATAATCCAGGGCCATACGCGCGAGGCCAGCATCCTCCGACTTGCTCTTGAGAGCGGCACTCCAGTATGCAAGAGGGTCTTTGACAGTCATGTTTGGTGGCGCATTGAGGTACTCCTCAAGCGCGTCAGACGAGCTGCTCGGTGCGCGCGACGTGACTGTTGCGAACAGCTGCGGTAGATCGGTCAGTCAGAGTTTGAGTGAATTGAAGTGCAGAATAGACTCACCGCGGCGCTCACACTGCGCTGCTGCTTCTTACGCCCATCCGCGCCCGCGTTCGTGGACGACGAAGACGCTGCAGCAGAGGGCCCGGTGTTGTTGTTGGCGGTGGCGCCGGGAGTATCGATCTTGTAGTAGTTCATGAACGCCTCCTTGACGAGATCGCGCGCGACCTGGATCCACTCCACAGGCCACCCAGCCTTGCGGAAGTACGTCAGCTTGACGGCTGGATGAAGAACTATGGGTGGAGGGACGCGGTCAGTTAAAACTACATCTACATTGATAATATAGACTACGACTTACTCATCGCGATGCGGTAGACAGGGGTCTCGTCCGTCTTGCTGTAGTACTTATTGAGCATCGCGCGGGCTGTGTGTGCGCCCTTTCGGACGGCGGGGTGAAGGTTTTCCTGGTCGACAAAGTCGTCCATGTGCTTGGTGAGAATGTCCATGAAAGGGATGACTTCGTGAAGAAGTGCCCGGGTGCTGTACGAGATTTGGTTGGTGGCGTACAAAAAGGGCTGTATGGTGTACAATTGTCAGCTGCCGCAGGGCGCGCACGAGGGAAATGAGCAGCTTACATCCATCAGATGGTACAGCTGTTCAAGGATGGACCATTCATCCTCGCTGAGGATAAAGCGGCGGAGTCGAACGCCCCCAGGGCGGTTGAAGTCGTACTTGTCGCAGAGCTCGCCAAGTACGTCCTTCATGTCGAGGCCGCGCCCAATGACACTGACGATACTGTTCCAGCGTGTACGAACCAGGCGGATGAGGACGTGCGCATGGAGACCAGCCTTCTTGGCAAGATCCTCGAGCTCCGCACAAACAGGAGGGCTGTTCCAGACCTTTCCGGAGAGCTTGATGAGCTAGAAGGGACGGAGGGCGGAGCGTCAGATAAGTACTACGACCTGTAGATAGGTGATTAACATACCTTCTCGAGGGCCAGAATCGCGGCCCTTTCCTCCTCTGGTGTGCAGGGCTGGTCATCGTCAGTGAGGTCGTCATCGTCGTCAAGGACCTCGTCGATGAGAGCTTGGTCTGCTGCTTCGCGGGCGCTGTCCGCTTCCTCGTGCTCCTCGTTGTCACCCTGAGAGTCGGCATCGGAGGCGTCCGAGAAGTCGTCGTGCTCGTCGTGCAGAGATTGCACCTCTTCGTCATCGGGTGCGTCCTTCCCACCTGTGCGAGTGCGCTTCTTCATGAACTGCTTGAGCGCGGCCTGCATATCGAGGTGTCAGAGTCAAGCCGCATGTAGGAACACTTGACTTACCTTGCTCACGAGGTTGAGGATATGTCCGAAGCATCGGACATGTCCCTCCCCAATCCGGGAGAGCGGTGAGCGGGTGTGGAGCTGACGCATGAGTGCCGTGTTGACCTCCGCGTTGTCACAAGTGACTGCAATGACCTGTGTTATGAGAGTGAGCATACATAGTACAAGGTGAAAAGAAAGTTGTGAGCTAACCTTGTCAAAGATCTCAAAATCCCGAAGGCACGCCTCCAGTTTTTCCGCGAGGTAGGTTGCTGTGTGCGACTTGGTGAGCCTACAGAGCGATTGAGCGATTAGTGATGTGGATAAAGACAGAGTGCATTAAAACGTACTTCACAAAGTCGAGGATGACGTGTTTGACCTCGCCGTCTTGCTGCCAGGATGCAGTGATGCCGAGATATGAGATAATGTTCGGCGACGTCCATCCATCCATGCAGATATGGATGCCACCGGGAAGACTCTAGATCGTGTTTAAAACGCGTGAAAGGGGTATGAACGAGAGAAGTACATGCCTTGAAATGATCCACAACCCGCTGCTTCGCCTCTGCATGTATATCGCGGACGTCCTGCGACACAGTCGCGCGAGTAGGGACTGCCGCCTTCTTGTACAGCATGGCAGCGATCATCTTGAACTCTGGATCCTCGACGATCGTGAAGGGGCGGTGGCGGCGAGCGCACCACATCGCGAGCAAGAAACGCAGGCGATAGGGCGTGTACGTAACGCCGGCCGCGAAATTCTCAATGAGCTCGACCTCTGGCACGTCCGCCGGATCGCAAGTCTTGATGTGCCGGCTGAGGTTCCCGGTGCTCTCTTGGTATTCAAGACGATTTACGGTCTTCGAAGGGTTCCTGAAAGCGTGTCAGGACAGACGCAAATTCAGTAGTACGAAGGAGATACTTACTTCTTGCATGTAAAGCGATGAATGATGGTGCCGTTGGGCCCATGAATGATCTTCGGGTACGCAAAGTGGGAGTACACCGACGAACGCCACTTCTTCGCGACCATCTCTGTTCAAATGGGTTAACAGGCGATCAGGAATGATCAAAGAGATAAGACTTACGAAGCGTAGCCTCGGGGGTAAGCCCAGCGTAGCGCTGCGCAAATCGGGCCTGCCGGCTGTTCGTAACAGCGATGCCGGCGTGCTCAGCAGCCGCGCGAGTACGATCCTTGAGGGCCTTCACACCATCTTCGCTCTCAGATTCGTCCGAGTCGGACGTGAGAACTGTGGTGTCCTTGTCGTCGTCATCCGTGACCGACTTGGAGGTCGCGGAGATGGTCGACAAGGTGCGCCGGACCTTCGCGCGCTGCTTGTTCGACGGCGTTGGGGTGGCGCTGCGATGTAGTTAGATCGATAAGAGATCACATAATACGACAGAATAATAGAGTAATAGAAAGCATACCTAGGGGTGCCTTCGATCTGCGCGTCACTGCCTTGAGTGACCGTTTCCGCGCGGCGACGTTTGGCGGCGGAAACTGCGGCGTTGATAGGCGTGGTCGAGGGGTTGGTCGACATGCTGTGATGAAGAGAGCGCTGATAACAACGGGATGAGAAATCACAGAAGAAACAGGAACTAGAGGGCTCACCGGCTCTCGCTCTGCCTATAAATCTTCGCGCAAGACCTGTCACTGCCGATGTCGGCATCAACAAATATATCTTCTGAAGGAACTCTGAGGCCAGGGGAGCGATGTCAGTATCCACGCGCTGCTTGAAGCTCCCTTGTGCTTTCCTCGAGGAGATGGATGAGATCGTGACTCACCTATGTGAGGACCGTTCAGATCACTTGGGGGCCAATCGTGCGTGGGCGGAGACTTGACGGCGCATTGACAGACGCTGTCGAGCCCGTTTATCTTGCCATGGAGCCAGGAACCGCGAAAAAGCTGAGTTCACGAGGCGGGGGTGTCGTGTGGGCATACTGAGTTCAATCTCAGCGAGAGGAGCATGGAGGAGGTGATTCAGGGGGAGCAGGGGAGCAGGGGCAGCGCAACATGGTCAGCGGAGAGGATAACGATGCGCTGGCGGCTACCCCAGCATCAGGTGCGTGCGTGGACGCCAAAAACGGCAGGCGAGAGCTTCGACTCTCAGGCTCACGCCCACCCGCAGCACCCAGAGAGGCGTCAGCCATATCATCTCCCTCACCTTCCAACCATCACCACGCCCTCCAGGTGCGCTCTCCACCCGTTACCTGTGCGGTACTCTGCTGATGTTCGGACATCACTCGGGGCGGGATAACCATCTGAGGATCAACACGATGCTCAGATCGTTATCTCGCCCGGCGCTCTAGTGCGCGCCTGCCTTACCTGTCTCCATCGCCGACCATCCACCTCCTCCTGGTGTCTATCCCGCGCGTCATCAGTCCTTGCACCCCCGGAAAGCGATTCCGAGGAGCCGATGACGACTCCAGTGAGCACTGGGGTCTGCTTTTTAATATCGTCCTCAGATGTCTAACCGTCTCTCACTGAACCCCCCACTACAACCTTGGTCCTACTGCCCCAAACCCCTCACTCCTATCAAATGGCTTCGCTCGGAAACACCATCGACAGCATCGAACCTGCCGTCCACCTCCTTGCGGAGACGCTCACCGTGCACGAGAACCGCCCCATGGCATGGGTGGTTCTGTATGTCAATGGCGTGACTGACACCCTAACGGTAAGTTCAATCCGCCTACCGCACTCGTCCAACGCTTACCTGATATCCCCTGCGTGTTTTTGAAGATCTTCCTCCCATACACCGCCCTCGCTCTCGCCACGATTGACCCCAGCGTGTGTGAGAGCTGGCACAGCATGGTCACTGGGGAGGAACTCGCGAAATGTGGGTTGAGCGACGCCCAGAACGAGCTGATCCTACAACTCGTACTCGCATTCCGCGCGTTCAGTCAAGGCCACCGGGAAGTCACGTTCGTCAACTTCCATGATTTCATCAAGGTTTTCACGTTGCACGTTCGGGCTCTCGCGCCTCACAAGCCCGCCGACGAGGCTCTCCTCGTGATGAGCTACTACATGCTTGAGGTCATGCCAGACGTGAGTAGTACCACCTTATTTCATCTCATTGCGCACATCTTGTACTAACCCAACGCTCTAAAGGTGATATTTCCCGACGAGCGTGCCCTCATGGATGCCCTTGGGCTCGTCGATGTTGATCCATCCACTCAGGAGGTCACCGACCATGCGACTGTCAACCCCGTGTCTGTCGTCCCCACGTCCCTCGACTGTGCGCTCGCCGATCTCGCGTCCCCCGCGTCCGTCAAGCCCTTGTCCGTCGACCCCATCATCCCCACGTCTGTCGTCCCCACGTCCGTCAACCCCTCGGCGTCCGTCAACCCCATCGTCCCTGCGTCCGTCGACCATGCGCTCGCTGACCTCGCGTCCCCCACATCCGTCAACCCCACGTCTGTCGTCCCCGCATCTGTCGTCCCCACGTCCCTCGACTGTGCACTCACCGATCTCGCATCCCCCGCGTCCGTCAAGCCCTCGTCCGTCAACCCCGTCGTCCCCACGTCCGTCGTCCCCACGTCTGTCAACCCCGCGTCTGTTGACCCCGCGTCCTCCGCGTCCACCGACCACATGCCTGTCGTCCCCGCGTCCGCCAACCGTGCGTCTGCAGACCTCGTGTCCACCGACCGCGAGTCCACCGACCCTATGCCCGTTTTCTCCTCATCTATCGGCGACGTCCTATCCTCCCCGTGTCTGGATGACGAAGCCCCTCAGTGGATATCCGTCTCCTCTACGCCCACATCACCTCGCTACTCACCGACCTCGCCTCACTATTCACCTATCTCTGCACACTACTCCGACATTGGCTCCGACTTTGACATCCCACCCCCGGTCTCCACTACTTTCCCGCAATCTCGTGCACCGCCTGACGACACGGTTTCGGAGGCATACCTCCGTTCGTCCACTGCAACGGCTACCTCTGATAGGCCCTCATCCCACGATCTCGCAGCGCTCGCGGCACTGTATAACCTCCCCGCCGAAACCCCTGCCTCCACGCTAGGCCACTCTTACGGGGCATTGATGGTCACCGCAACGCAGCGTCTCGTCCCTCCTGTGCGATGGTCAGCAATGCTTGAGGAGATTGCGGACGTCCACCGCTCTCTCATCATTGCCGAACTCCTCGACTGCGCACGCCCACCCTCCTTGAGCCCAACCACGCACGCTCTTTTGATAGAGCAGCTGTTCGCGGGTGCGCCCGCGAGCGTGTGTGGCGCGAGCAGCAGTGCGGACATGGGCGCGGGCGAGGGCTACACAGCGGGCGATGGTGTGCAGGAGGGTATGGGCAATGTTAGTGGGGGTGCGGGCGTAGCTGATGTGGGCGCGCGCGCGCGAAGCATCGCTGGTGAGGACGCGTGCGGGGGCTCAGCTGGTGCGGGCGCATGCGCAGCCACTGGATCGGGCGCAGGTGCGGTCCCAGATACACATGCTCGCGCGCGCAAGCGCAAGGGGAAGGGGACGAGGAAGGGTAAGGGTAAGGGTAAGCATGCGCGCCATGCGAGCAAGAGTACGGGTGGTCACATGGACAAGGTTCCGATGGCGACCTGTACCGACGACGAGCTGCCTCCACTTGTCCCTCTGTCTGATGAATACGACTCTGACTATTTATTAGTTGGTACATAGACATGTTGTAGTGATAGTAAAGTGGTAAATGTGCTTCAATTATGGCTGTATATGTGCCCGAATGTGCGACTCTACCCACAGATGACCCGCGAGTCGCGAGAAATCTGGCCGGCCCGATCCGGAACCTCACCGAGCCGGACCCGCAGGGAGCCTGAGCCGTATGGGTCATGAGCTGTGGCTCACGACTCCGGATCATTGCGGGTTGATCTGCGAAGTGAGCCGGACCCTCATACAGCCTTACGCCACGCGTCCCTCTCACCGTCCTTCCTGTCCTCCACATCCATCGCTGCCTCCGGCCTCCTTCTTTGTCCAAGCAGACGATAGCGGCTACACAGTACCCTGTTGTCTGCCATTTCACTCCTGTGTCATCTGGTGACATTGCTCCCCTGCCCGTCCAACCTCGACCTCGACCTCTATGCCGTCTTTCGCCCGCCTTCCCAGCCGCATCCACACCGCACGAGGATGTCCATCTGGACGTCCTCAGCCTAGAGATTAGTATTAGTGCGGCGCGGCGATGTACCGCGGCCTCCGCTTAGGTGAGTCTTCTGCTACTCTTCCGCTACTCTTCCGCTACTCTTCCGCTACTCTTCCGCTACTCTTCCGCTACCCTCCTGGTTCACCCATCCGGCCCTGTCGACAGCTACGACATGCAGAGGAGGTCCGCCTGGACGTCCCCCGCGTCGCCCTCCTCCGTATGCGTCGCCCTTCGCCTCAGCCACGTCTCAATCCTCCACGTCGCCCGCCTCCTCCGGAACTCCCTCCTCTTCCTCCGCGTCGCCCTGGCCCTCCGCGTTACCCTCCTCTGCCTCCATGCCGCGGCCTTTTCGTGTGGAGCCCATCTCCGTGCCGCCCACCTCCACCAGCGTCGTGGTCCTCCGCTTCGCCGGCCTCCTCTGCCTCGTCCGGGCCTTCATCCTTCTCCCACAAGCCCTCCGCATCACTCGCGTCCGCGTCTGCGTCCGCGTCGCCCGCCTCCGTATCGCCCGCGTCCACGTCGCCCACCTTTGCGTCGCCCACCTCCGCCCGCCTCGCCCGCCTCCGCTCGTGCCGCCCACCTCCACCTCGTCCGCCCGCCTGTCGCCCACCTCTGCACGCATCACCCGCTTCTGCGCTGCTCTCCGCGCGCATCGCTCGCCTTCGCGCCGCCCACCTCCTTCTGTAGTAGTATACAACAAATCTATTTTTTTTTTCGGCAATACACTAGTGCCTGCAAAAAGCGTGATGAGGGGGCGGGTGGGGGATGTCGCGGCCTTGATAGCGCCCACATATCACAGCGAACGAGGTTTGGTGTCATAGCCACGATCGTTATAACAGCGAATGACGTTCCTTGTGATAACGATTGTGGTTATCACAGGGATCCCCATTCGCTGTTATAACGAGCACTGCAACAACGCCGACGTCAAGGCTGCCAACGTCAAGGACACTGCCACGGCGCGAAGTTCCGACAGTCTCAGTTTTGCAAAATAAGTAGCCATGCAATTCTTACACTCGCCCCATGGTGCTCGCGTTCGCGTGCACAGCTGTGGCCCATTTGTGTTGCGACGCGTGCGTGGGTACATATCTGGTTCGGAGCATGTGTGCAGATTCATACACACAGTAGCTAGTGTGGTGAATCACAAGCTTCCATAAGTACCACGGTGGGATGATTTGTACCGAACATTATATGTACTAGCCGGACCCTGTAGTAAGACACTAAGTACTGTCAGACTCGTCTCCCGACGATTCGGACGTGGTCTCCTCACCCATCACCAGTAACGCAGTAGTGTCCTCGATGACTTCGGAGGTAGCATACTCAGCGTAACGCGTGGACCATGTGGGAAGAGAGTAACCAGGACGAGCTCGCAGATGCGGCAACCAGAGTGTTGCGCAGCGCACGGCGAGACCCTCGAAAACGCTCGCCTGCTTCTCCGCGTATGCAGCCAGCCCCGACGCAAGAGTGTGGCACTTGGGGACCCGTCGCCCTGTCTGGTCACGCCACCATCGCGCCTTCCACTCGAAGAACTCGAGGATACGGCCCATCTCTTCCTCCAGCAGCTCCACCTCCTCCCTCCACCTATCCGCCCGCGCCTTGCTGGTTGCCCACTCGTGTCTCATGTTGTTGAGGAGCTCGGTGGGATCGAGGTCCTGACATCCGTCGGCGATGTCGCCGGATACGCGTGGGACAAGCCAGATCCACGAGATCTCGTAGCGGCCGTCACCCGTTTGATTGTTGTCGTCCGGGCGTCCTGGACCTCGAATGTCTTCTCGCTGAAGGTCCTTGAAGCGAGTTTGCCATTCCCCTTGAGGGTCGAGGGAAAGCAGTGCGTGGCGCGCGGCGCGATATCGCTCTGCTGCGTGGTTGATCTTGTCCTGGAATGCTGAATAGACGGATCGTGCCCTCCCCGTTGTGCGCTGCCCGGTGCCGCTTATGTTGAGACGCGTAAACTCTCGTACACCGGTGATGATGCGCCGGTAGCGGCGGATGTCGTCAAGTGCGTCATCGGCTTGTGCGAGTCGCAGTTTCAACGCTTTGTCGAGGAGACTGGGACTAAGATGGGCGAGTCGGAGTTCGGATGGGATCGCAGAAGGGAGAAGAAGTGGAATGTCTTCAGCGAGAGTGGGAAGGGAAGGAAGGGAAGGTGAGGTGGTCGAGACGGCAGGCAAGGTGGGGGAGGATCGCAGCGTGGGGCCGTTGGGGAGCTGTGGGGCAGACGTGGTGGGGGGCGAATGGAGCATGTTGACGGTTGAAACCGAGGGCGATTGCGAGAGCATGTAAAGATCTGTGGGAGAGGGCCGTACGGAGGATGCAGAGGGCGAATTGGTGTTGTGGAAGGAGCTGGGAGTGGCCGCAGTTGGTCCGTTGACCAAGGCGGATGATGTGGCGTGAGGGACGGCGGCCGTAGCAGAAGAAGTCGATGACAATCCGCTCGCTGTGATGCGTGGCACGTCAGGCAGATTACGGAGCAATGCGGTGATCGGCATATGAATGCCTTGCATGGCTTGCCATAAGAGAATACAATGCTGAAGCGTGTTCCGCTTCTCTTGAACAGCGGCTCGAGAGTTCTCTCCGGTGGACATCTTTGCTTTCATTGCTTGCAATGCTCGTCTGCATGAATTGTCAGGTGCAACGTAACACATAGTAGACAACAAACTCACTGTTGCTCCTCCAAATCGAGGCCGACTTGGAGGAATACCCCAGGTGATACCTCGTGCGGAGGTAGGCTGCCATTGCGCCGCTCAATGGCCTCTTCTTCGGCTATCTGCAAGCGAACAGCCTTGAGTGTTACAGCTGACAGATGCGATTGGATTAGAACGGTCTAAGCTTGACAAGGGGCCACTCACTTGGTCGAGGTTCCTCGTAGGGATCCGGTGCGGATGTAGGATCATCCTGCCAAGCCTCTAGATCCGCTTCCCACTGGGAGACGGCCGCCCTCGAAGGAGAGGGCATATGGTCCGTGAACTGCTTGTGGATTTCTGCCTGCCGAGCGCTCAACCGGTCGGCTTCGCGCAGGTGCTTCAGGATGAACGCCGCTAAGACAGAAAACCCGTGAGCACGGTGTGTTCTTGCCACTGGACATCTGACTCACCTAGCCTGACTATTTTTTGCCAATTCCATGCGCCCTCATGGTCATCAACGACCTCGTGTCGACCCCCGGGTTCCATCTCGCACGTACTCGTGTGAACTGGGTTCATATGGCCCCAGTGGGACTCAACGCCTTCGCCATACGTACGCCCGACGTACTGCAAGTAATTCAGCGACCATTGAGCATGATTTGCACCATGCACATGCCAGTGCTTCTTCGGAATGGCAAACCGCATGGAAATGTCGTCAAACGCGCTACTCAGGTTGTCAGGAAGATCGGTAATGCGGTCAAAGAGGTTCTTGTGCCATTGGCAGGCGAGATCGTACGATACCAGCAGCTGCGCCGGAGGTTTGGAGCCGGAAATAGTGGATGACAATAAGTAGTCGAAGATGGCATATCTGCAATGCTTAGTCAGCATTTCCGAGTGTCGGAGAGACGGATAACCCTGACTTCTCTCCAAGGAATATGTCACCCACACCGCTTCAACGGCACAAGGCGTGGCGTGCGCAAAGAACTGCGCCGACGCCCGACGTGATGTACCCTTCGCGGCGACTGTTCGCATTGATAATCGCTTTATGCTCAGCCGAGCAGCTGCTTTTCTGTGTAACACATGTCAACTAACAGGTAACGAAGCAGCTACGCAAGCCACCCACCTCGGTCTGCTCTCCCACAGAGTTAATGAAAGTCGTAAAGGTGTTCGATTCAACAAAGTACGACCATCCGCGAGAGAGTTGAGTGGTATCGAGACCACGATCCTTCAGCTTTGCACGGAAGTTGCCGTCCATCATCAGGAAGAGTGTGTACAGCCATCTGCAAAAATACGGACCGAGTCAGTACGTGCCGGCATGTTTTCGATGCACTCACCTGACGCCGTCATCCGCGGTCTCCCATCCTGGAGGAAGGTTTATGCCCGGATGTGGACATGCTGGGCACTCAACCGCGAGGTCACCGGGTTGGGTCGCCGCAGCACCAGCTGGATCGTGTGCGCGTCCTGCACGCTTGAGAGCAACCAGATGACGCCATAACCGGATGCAGTGAGAGAACTGCTTGTACCGGATCTTCAATCCGACGCGCTTTAGTCAGCAAGACATCGCACTTGAACAGACAAACTTACCAGAGGACGCGCACAACTTCCGGAGTTGTCGGTCACACGCCACAAGGTCCGCTCGAAGTCGTTCAAGGTCGTTTTTGCCTGAAAGTTTAACTCTTGAAAGAAGTCGAGTGCGCGAAACGTGATGGAAGTGGCGGGCCTCAAAGTGGTGGCTGGGAACCAACCGTGACGAAAAATCTGTACCCACTCAGGGAGGGAGTTGTCGTCACTGACACATTCACAGAATCGGACTCGTACTTCGTGAATCCTATCGAGGTCGACGACGACCATATTTCGGGTCTGGCTGGATGGACGAGGACAAGGAGCGCTGTCGTGACCGAGTTGCACCACAGCACCTAGGCTCCGGAGGTCAGTCTTGACGAACTTCCCTCGGACCCATCTCTTTGATGCATACATGAGATCGACACTTCGATTATATTACAATATCGACGTACCTCAAGAATATGCAATTCCAAGTTCCTGTGCCGCTTCACCACACAACCGTCACAGTACAGCGCGCGGGTGCCGCATCGTGTGCATCGAAGATCGGCACCAGGAACATTGCATGCTTGACAAACGGCGCTTGAGCCGTTTTTAAAGTACTCGGAGCCTTCGAAGCGTAGAATTTCGTCTAGAAATTCTTGTCGAAGCGGAATCCACTCCAGGACCTTGGACTACAAAGAGCTGAGTGTTCAAGAGCGAAGCGAGTTTCTGAGCAGACACATACCGCCGCGCGCAGTCCGGGACGCTTCCGCTTCTTCTTGCTACCAGACTGCTGGATGTTCTCCGGAAGCTGATCGCACTGGGAAGAGAGGGGCGGGGCTGGGTCGTGTGGCAAATCATTCACTGACTGAGCGTGCTCTGTGGCGAGCGGCGGCTTAGAGGACGGAACCGCCGCCCTTCCCTCCTGGTGACGAGCTCCTAGTCTCCCGTTGGGGAGTGTGTAGACTTGATAAGATCGGGTGTGATGAACGACAGAGGGAGGAGCGAGTGGTGGGGTCCGCGATAAGCCTGGAGCCGCGCTGAGATGGTGCTGCTGCACAGTTCCAGGTGCTCGGCGTGGTTTCTTAGTATCTGGCTGTGAGCTGGTGCCCGATTTCCTCTTCTCAGAGGGCATGGTGAGATGTGGAATGGAAACAATTCCGGAGGAATGGATGGGGGCAGAAGGAGAGCGCGTTGTGCGTTGCGCGCAGTGTTGGCAGTGTCGTCCGGGGCAGAGCCGGCCCGGGATCAGGCAGCGGTGTACGGCTGTAGATCTGTGTGCTTCAAGGACACAACGTGCCGCACCATACTATTGCGGCCGAGTATGATTTTAAATGGGCATTCTGACCTATAGGACAGCCAACAGGCAGACCCCGCCGAAGTTTGTGAGCACCATGATGTAAGGTGTGATTGATTGGCCGATGAGCAAGGCTTCAAGTCGAGCTGCTCGGCTTCCCGATATATGTCCCCATCGCCGCCCCACAGAATAGGCTGTTTGGGTACGAATAGGCCATCGGCTTCGCGTTCGGGGACCATTTTTGAGGCAAGGATGACGTCGCAGCCTCCACGCAGGACTTCGCTTCCTGCGCTGAGGCGGAACAAGATTTCGTTCGCCTTGTCGGATGTGCACTCGCTGTTTGGAGCTAACCCGTTAGTTTGCGGCAGGAGAACGCTCTACCGCAACTCTAAAGTCGCTGGTCTAGTCGGATAACCACTCATTTTAGTACGAAGGGACCATCGGCTTCGTGTTCGGGTACCAGTTCTGTGACAAGGACGATGTTGCAGCCTCCACGCAGGACCTCAATCCCTGCACTGACTCGGTGGAACAAGATTTCGTACGCGTTTTCGGATGTGCACTCGCTGTTTGGAGCTAACCCGTTAGTTCGCGGCAGGAGAACGCGCCACCACAACTCCCAAGTCGCTGGACTAACGGCCCTCGGATAACCACTCGGACCGTCCTGAGCGACTCTGCGTGCAAAATTTACTAGACCACTTTGAAAGCTCGAATTATCATTGAAGACACCAAGTATGCGAGGACTATCTGTCTACGAGCATCTGCGGTACAACACGAAACACAGTAAACTAGTACCGACGCGGTGGCAAAATAGCGACCCTTCCAGAGACCCGATGGGTGAGATAGTGGTGCACAGCTTGGTCGCGCGAGAAGAAGGACCTATGGCAGTTATACGAGACTCCGGTGACATAGGGAAGTATCTCCGGATACGACTTCCAGATACCGACGCAGGTCCCTGCAGTCACGACGTGCCACCTGCCGCTGTGATGGTCATCGGGGCCGGCGATGTACTCGTTTGAGCTGTTAATTCCTACGTGTTAAATCAGCTATGGGCGTCGAACAAGATAAAAAGCATACCGGTCGTTGGATAGGTGCAGCCTTGCGGAGCTTGAAACGTGGCGGCGCGGGCCAGAAGCGGCGCGGGGGCAGCGATAAAGGGCGAGACCGACGCAGCTCTACTCATGACCGGTGACGGCGGCAAGCTGGGGTGCGGGGTGTTCGGAGGGGCTAGCGCGGCGGCGGATATCCCGAGCGAGGACGCAGCGCGGCTCATTGAGGGACCCGACCGGCGGAGGCGACGTATGGGCTGCCAGGGGGACGCCGGCATAGAAGCGGGTCTAGCGGCGACGTTCTGCATGCCATATCCGGTCTGCGAAGGCACCCGAGTGACGATGGGGGTGACGGGGGTGGTAGGTGCGACGGGAGCAGCGGGAGCAGCGGGCGCAATGTGGGCAACGGGATCAGGGGCAGGGATGATGGGTGCAGCCGTAGACGTCAGGATCGCGGACGGAACATGCATCTGCGGGTTCTCTGCAGGCGCGGAGTAAATGTTTACGACTCCACCAGCGTGCACGTTGACAGTAACTTGAACAGGTGTGGGAGTTGTGACGCGGGGATGGACATTCGCCGTCGCGCGATTGTCACCGTTGAAGGGCAAATTTGCGAGCCCTACAGGGGAATCTTCCGTGGCCGGTGCGCGACCTTGTTGAAGACGATTGTTGCGAGGGATGCGGCCAAAGGTCCCTAGGAACACTTGTTACAAGATTCCAACTTGCAGTACAACAAGAATGCTCACCAGTGGTACCCGAGGACAATGTTGAAGTGTCCCCATCGCTCTCGGCTGTCATCCGAGAGGGGACGATGTGCATTCTGTGAGTTGGGATAGGCAAGAGAGACTGTGAAGACGAAAGGGAAGAGAGGATGAGCGGCATCGTCTGCGCGGTGGGGTAAAATAGCTGGCTGGCTGCGCGTCACGGCGTTTCGCACGATCTTGTCAATTGAGTTAGCTTGCGATATATTCTCCGAGACCCGCCGCGACCCTGTGAACGAATCCTCCTCTCACCTGTGCCCTCATAGCTGCTCCATCCTCGTCTCCCTGCTAAGGCTGCTTGCAGCTCCGGCTCACTTCGCGGGTAAACCCGCAATGATCCGGAGTCGTGAGTCACAGCTCATGACCCATACGGCTCAGGCTCCCTGAGGGTCCGGCTCAGTGGGGCTCCGGATCGGGCCGGCCAAATTTCTCGCGACTCGAGGGTCATCCACGGGTAGAGCCGCACATTCGGGCACAGATATAGCCGTAATTGAAGCACATTTACCACTTTACTATCACTACAACATGTCTATGTACCACTACGAATCAACAGTCGGAGTCATATTCATCAGACAGAGCAACGAGTGGAGGCAGCTCGTCGTCAGTGCAAGTGTGAATCTCGTCCTTGTGACCGCCCGTACTCTGGCCCACACGGCGCACATGCTTACCTTTACCCTTCCCCTTCCTCGTCTCCTTCGCCTTGCGCTTGGGTGCGCGCGCGTGTGCACCCGATCCAGTGGCCGTGCACGCGCGCACCTGCTCACTCGGAGCGACGTGCGCGTGCGCGCCCACACCAGTCAAGCCCGAGCCAGAGTCCATGCGCGAGCTAGTGTCCATGCGCGAGCCAGTGTCCGTACCCACACCTGGGCCCCTGCCAACATCGCTCGCCGTACCCTCCCACACATGGTCGCCCGCCGTGTAGTCCCCACCCGCACCCATATCAGCGCGGCTGCTCACGCCACCCATGCTTGATGGCGCACCCGCGAATAGCTGCTCTATTATAAGAGCATGTGTGGTCGGGCTTAAGGAGGGCGGAGGTGCGCTGTCAAGAAGTTCGGCAATGATGAGAGAGCGGTGGTGATCCGCAATCTCGTCAAGCATTGCCGACCATCGTGCAGGAGGAACGAGACGCCGCATTGCGGAGACCATGATTGCCCCATATGAGCAGCCTTGCGCGGAGGCAGCGGTCTCAGTGGGGAGGTTGTACAGCGCTGTGAGGGCCGTGAGATCGTGGGGTGACGAGGGTGGATCCGAGGCGGCTGGCACAGCGGATGACCAGAGGTATGCGTCTGAGACCGAGTCGTCGGGTGGCGCGTAAGACTGCTGGTAAGGGGAAGCAGTGGCAACGAGGGGTTGGACGTTGTCGTCCGAGCCAAATTCGGAGTAGTGTGGCGAGATGGGCGAATAGTGAGGCGACCTCGGGGAGTAACGAGGTGATGTGGGTGTGGAGGAGATGGAGATCCACTCAAGGGCTTCGTCATCCAGACATGAGAAGGAGAGGACACCACCGATGGATGAGAAGAGGATGCTGGGCATAGGATCGGTGAGTTGAACGTGGTCGACGGCTGCGCTGTTGGTGGCGGGGTCCACAGACGTGTGCCGACGGGCGTGTAGTCGGCAGATGCGGGGGCAACGGACGCGGAGTGGGCGGATGCGGGGGCGGCGGACGCGGGGGCGGCGGACGCGTGGTCGACGGATGCGGGGGCGGTGAACGTGCGGTCAACGGAGTGGGTGGACGCGGGGGCAGCGAACACGGGGGCAGCGAACGCGGGGGCAGCGGACGCGGGGGGCGGACGCGTGGTCGAGGAGTGGCGACGCATCGGACGTGTGGTCGACGGAGTGGGCAGACGCGCGGTCGACGGAGTGGGCGCGCGGTCGACGGAGTGGGCGGGCGGTCGACGGAGTGGGCAGACGGGGGGGCGGGGGGGGGGGGGGGGGGGGGGGGGGGGGGCGGGGGGCGGGGTCGACGGTGGGGGCGGGCGCGGTCGACGGAGTGGGCGGACACGCGGGTGGTCGACACGGGGGCGGCGAACGTGGGGGCGGTGGACGCGGGGGCGGCGAGCTCTGACTGAGTGGATCGATGAATATCGACGAGCCCAAGGGCTTCCATGAGGGCATGCTCATCAGGGAAGATCACCTTTAGAGCCTGGAATGAGTACAATGTGTGCAGAATGAGAGATAATAAGACAGTACTCACGTCTGGCATAACCTCGAGCATATAGTAGCTCATTGAGAGGAGAGCCTCGTCGGCGGGCTCATGAGGTGCGAGAGCCCGAACGTGCAATGTAAAAACCTTGATAAAGTCTTGGAAGTTGACGAACGCGACTTCGCGATGGCCTTGACTGAACGCGCGGAACGCGAGTATGAGTTGTAAGATGAGCCCATTCTGGGCATCACTCAACCCGCATTTCGCGAGTTCCTCCCCGGTAACCATGCTGTACCAGCCCTCGCAGACACTGGGGTCAATCGTGGCGAGGGCGAGTGCGGTGCATGGGAGGATGATCTGGATAAAACGCAAGGGAATAATGAAAACGTTGGACAAGTTGTGGTAGGCGGATTGAACTTACCGTGAGGGTGTCGGTGACACCATTGACGTACAGGACCACCCACCCATGGGGCGGCTCTCGTGCGCGGTGAGCGTCTCGGAAAGGAGGTGGACAGCGGGTTCGACACTGTCAATGGTGTTCCTGAGCGAAGCCATTGGGTAGGAGCGAGGGGTGTGGGGTAGTGGTTCAAGGTTGTCGTGGGGGTGTTCAGTGAGAGACGGCGGCGGTCAGACGTAGCACGATATTAAAAAGGGGAGGGTGCTCACTGGAGTTGTTATCGGCTCTTCGGAATCGCTTCCCAGGAGTGTGAGGACTGAGAGTATGCGGCATAGGCACCAGGAGGACGTGGATGGCCCGTGATGGAGACGGCTAAGGCAGGCGCGTGCTAGAGCGCCGGGCGAGATAACGATCTGAGCATCGTGTTGATCCTCAGATGGTTATCCCGCCCCAAGTGATGTTCGAGCATCAGCAGAGTACCGCACAAGTAGCTGATAGAGAGCGCACCTGGAGAGCGTGTTGATGGTTGGAGTTAAGGGAGACCATGTGGCTGACGCCTCCCTGACTGCTGCGGGTAGGCGTGAGCCTGAGAGTCGAAGCTCTCGCCTGCCAGGTTACCGCTTTGGGTGTCCGTGCACGCCCTTGACGCCGTGGCAGCCGACAGCACATCATCATCCCCTCCGCCGACCATGTTGCGCTGCCCCTGCTCCCCTGCTCGTCCTGATTATCCTCTATCCACGCACCCCTCGCGGACGTTGAACTCTGCATGCCCACACGACACCCCCGCCTCGTGAACTCGGCTCTTTCACAGTTCCTGGCTCGACGGTCTCGACAGCCTCCGTGAAGGTGCCGTCAAGTCTCCGCCCACGCACGATTGGTTCCCGGGTGACCTGAGTGGTCCTCATCCATCTCCCCGAGGCAAGCACAAGGGAGCTTGGGGCAGCGCACGGATACTCACATCGCTCCCCCGGCCTCAGATTCCCTTCAAAAGACATATCCATTGATGCCGACATCGGTCACAGCTGCTCTTGTGCGAAGATTTATAGGCAGAGCGAGAAATGGTGAGCACTCTCTATCCCATTTCTCTTACGCTCTCTCATCCTCGTCGTTATCAGTGCTCTCCTCATCGAACCATGTCGACCAACCCTGCGACCACCCCTGTCAACGCTGCGGTTGCCGCCGCCAAACGTCGCCGCGCAGAGACAGTCACTCAAGGCAGTGATGTGCAGACCGATGACGCCGCTAGGTATGTTTCCTATTGCTCTGCGTGCCGCATAGTCTGATCTCATTGATCTACATTGCAGTGCAACTCCGACGCCCTCGAATAAGCAACGCGCGAAGGTCCGCCGCACGTCGTCAACCATCTCTGCCTCCTCGAAGTCGGTCACGGATGACGACGACAAGGACACCACTCGCACGTCCGACTCGGATGAAACCGGGAGTGAGGACGGTGTCAAGGCCCTCAAAGATCGTACTCGTGCAGCTGCTGAGCACGCCGGGATCGCCGTTACGAACAGCCGGCAGGCCCGATTTGCGCAGCGCTACGCTGGGCTTACCCCAGAGGCTACGCTTGGTAAGTTCTAACTCATTGATCTATGGCGATCGCCTTTTCACCCGTTTGAACAGCCCTTGTCGCGAAGAAGTGGCGCTCCTCGGTGTACTCCCACTTCGCATACCCGAAGATTGTTCAAGGGCCCAACGGCAACATTATTCATCGCTTTGCATGCAAGAAGTAAGTCTCTCCTTCGTACGACTGTATCTGTGTCCGTATTCATACGCTTTCAGGAACCCCTCGAAGACGGTAGATCGTCTTGAATACCAGGAAAGCACCGGGAACCTCAGCCGGCACGTCAAGACCTGTGATCCCGCGGACGTGCCAGAAGTCGAGCTCCTTGAAAATTTCGCCTCCGGTGTTACGTACACGCCTCATCGTCTGCGTTTCTTGCTTGCGATGTGGTGCGCTCGCCGCCACCGCCCCTTCACGATCGTCGAGGATCCGGAGTTCAAGATGATCCTCGGCATGCTGTACAGGAAGGCTGCGGTCCCTACTCGCACTACTGTGTCACAGGACGTCCGCGATATCCACGCAGAGGCGAAACAGCGCGTTGTGGATCATTTCAAGGTATGTATTTATCTCTTTCACAACCCTTTCATGCATTCTAAACATGGTTTAGAGTCTTCCTGGCGGCATCCATATCTGCATGGATGGTTGGACATCTCCCAACATCATATCATATCTCGGCATCACTGCGTCCTGGCAGCAAGACGGCGAGGTCAAACATGTGATCCTCGACTTTGTGAAGTACGTATTAACGCGCTCTTATTCTGTATCGGCATCACTGATACCTCTATAGGCTCACCAAGTCGCACACAGCGACGTATCTCGCCGACAAACTGGAGGCCTGCCTGCGGGATTTTAACATCTTCGACAAGGTCAGCTCTCACCTTCCCTTCCATGTCGTACTGTACATGCTCACTCTCGGAAACAGGTCATTGCTGTCACTTGTGACAATGCTGAGGTCAACACGGCGCTCATGCGTCAGCTCCGCACTCGCGCACCGCTCTCTCGGATCGGGGAGGGGCACGTCCGATGCTTCGGACATATCCTCAACCTCGTGAGCAAGGCAAGTCACGTATTCCTACTACGTGTGGCTTGACTCTGACATCTCCGCATGCAGGCCGCGCTCAAGCCGTTCATGAAGAAGCGCTCTCGCGCGGGTGAGAACAGCACCGTCCCTGACGATGAAGAGGCAAAATCCCTCCACGACGAGCACATGATTTCTCGGATGCCTCGGATGCGGACTCCAGCGACAACGAGGAGCACGAGGAGGCGGACGGCGCGCGCGAGGAAGCGGACCAGGCTCTCATTGACGAAGTCGTTGAGGACGACGACTTCATTGATGACGACCAGCCCTGCAGTCCGGAGGAGGAGAGGGCCGCAATTCTAGCCCTCGAAAAGGTCTGCCAACTGCTGATCTACTCGTCCTACACGCCTGACGCTCTGCCCTCTGTCCTTTTCAGCTCATCAAGCTCTCCGGGAAGGTCTGGAATAGTCCTCCCGTTCGCGCTGAGCTCGAGGAGCTTGCCAAGAAAGCCGGCCTCAATGCGCACGTCCTCATCCGCCTTGTTCGTACCCGCTGGAACAGTATTGTCAGCGTCATTGGGCGCGGTCTCGACATGAAGGATGTACTTGGCGCACTCTGCGACAAGTACGACTTCAACCGTCCCGGGGGCGTCCGACTCCGCCGCTTTATCCTCAGCGAGGAAGAATGGTCCATTCTTGAACAGTTGTACCACCTTATGGACGTAAGTCGCTCATCTCTCGTTGGCGTGCCCTACCACAGCTGAGAATTGTATTCATACAGCCCTTTTTGTACGCCACCAACCAAATCTCGTACAGCACCCGCGCGCTCCTGCACGAAGTAATTCCTTTCATGGACGTTCTGACGAAGCACATGGACGACTTCGTCGACCAGGAAAATCTTCACCCCGCCGTCCGCAAGGGGGCACACACAGCCCGTGCAATGCTCAACAAGTACTACAGCAGGACCGACGATACGCCCGTCTACCGCATCGCGATGAGTAGGCCCGACTTTATATTCTCAATGTTGATATCTTTTGAGCTAACCTTGCTCCACCATTCACAGTCCTTCATCCAGCCGTCAAGTTAACGTACTTCCGCAAGGCCGGTTGGCCTGTGGACTGGATCCAGGTCGCGCGCGACCTCGTCAAGGAGGCCTTCGTCAACTACTACAAGATTGATACTATGTCTGCCGCCGCTGACAACGCGGGGCCCTCCGCTGCCGCCTCTTCGTCGTCTACGAGCGTGACTACAGATGCGCGGAAGAAGAAGCAGCGCAGTGTGAGCGCCGCGGTGAGTGTATTTTCACATATTGCTCACACTCGGACTGACAATCTGCTACAGCTGTTCGCCAATGTCACCTCGCGCACCCCGAGCAGCTCGTTTGACGCGGTTGAGGAGTACCTCAACGCCCCTCCCAACATGACCGTCAAGGACCCCCTCGCATACTGGAGCGCTGCTCTTAAGAGCAAGTCGGAGGACGCTGGCCTCGCGCGCATGGCCCTAGATTATCTCTCCATCCCTGGTACGTCACCATTCATGACTGTTCTTAATCTAACCTACTTACGACCACACCATCAGCCACCTCGACTGATGCGGAGAGGGCGTTCTCTCGTGGACGCCTCACTGTCTCTCGCCTTCGTCGTTCCCTCGGCAATGATAGTGTCCGCGCGAACACTGTCCTCGGTTCTTGGGCGCGCGTCCCTGGCCTCATCCCGGAGGACCAGATGGTCGAGTTCCTCAAGGACAAGAAGGCCGCGCGTTCTCGTCGTGTTGCAGCCAATGCTGCAGCGTCCGCCTCTACTGCTGCTGCCGCACCTGCCTCCACCGCTGTAATCACCATTGATTAGCCATGTATTTGTTTATTCAGTCTCCCTTGCCACCAATGTGGTTTTATGTCAACGTCGATTCCATATTGTCCCTTCACAACTCTAGGCTTCAGTTCTTATCCCTCACTCGCTTAGACAGGCCCCCGCATTGTGTGGTCATGCGGTGTGCTCCACCCTGACGTTCGGGCTCTGCCATGCCTTCGCGCACGATGCGGTGTGCGCTCTCGTCATTAGGCGAGCCACGACGCGCGACGTGCGCTCCGGTCGTCTGCGGCCTGCCATGCCTTCGCGCGCGATGCGGTGTGCGCTCTCATCATTAGCGCAATGTGCGGCGTGTGCTCTGGTCGTTCGCGTGCGGCGTGCGCTCTGGTCGTTCGCGTGCGGCATGCGCTCTGGTTGTTCGCGTGCGCCGTGCTCTGGTCGACCGTCATTCGCGCAATGTGTGCTACGCACTATGCGCTCTCGAGCCTCATTCTACGTGTGATCTCTCTGTTTGCTCATGTGCCGAATGATCCGTATTTGTGGACATCCATGGATCACCCTGGCTCACAGCTCTTCTGACTGATCCGTATTCATGGATATCCATGGATCTCCCCGGCTCGCGGCTCAAACCGTGGGTAGAGTCGTGGACCACGGGTCCGGCTCCCACGACTCCGGGTCTTCCGGAGGATCTGAGCCATGCGGCTCTGGATCAAGCTTGCTGAGCGGCTATGATCCACGGATAAGACTCCGGATCATCCGCGGGTGGAGCCTCAAACAGCCTTACTCCCTGCCGACATTCTCTGCCCGTAACCTCGGATGACGAGAAAGAAATGGGCGACAGTCTCGCAAGAGGAGTGGTTTCGTGCCCGCCAGAGTCGCTTCGCGGACGCGAAGATCGACGGTACCACTCGTGCTTTCTTTAACACCACGATGGAGCTCTTCACCGAGAAATGGCCTCTCCAACCACTGACCACCGCCGAGATCCGCGCCGCCGATGGCAGCGTTGAGGTCGCTGCCGAGAAACAGCGAAAGGCTATGTGCAAGGTAAGTCCTCTTATCACAGACTTTCCATGCGGCAACGTTGTTGACATACCTCCGGCAGCGCATCGAGTGGTGGTATCGGAACCGCGTGCGACCGAACTCATCAGATGGCAACTCCGGCGGCAAAATATCCAAGCCCTTGCCCCTCCTCGACCTCCAACGCAAGAAGCCACAGCGTCTCATGCCGCATCAAGTGTACATGCACCTTTATAAAGATCGCCTCAAAGACATCGTTGCGAACAACTATCTTGCTTACAAGAACGGTGTGCACCCAAGTTTCCCCTTGCTTGGCATGGACGACGACGACGACGACGACGCGAAACCTCTCGACGAGTGGGCGTTCAAAAACTTTGAATGTAAGCGTCTTCTTGCGCAGGAGGAGGACGACGTGCAGGAAGCCGTGGCTGAGTACCGCGAGCGGCACTACCACGAGCGGCTCCCGATCCCGATGACGCTGGAATATATTCTCAGTGAAGGTAGCGAGAAGGCGGCCGAGAGAGTCAGAATTCTGCAACAGTACGCACCTAGGTCGAGTTGGATTCCTGACACGAGCAGCTGACTTAGAATTTCCCTAGGGCCATTGACAGGCTGTCGCGCACCGGCTTAGAGGTCTTGAAGTCTATCGAGGCTCTGACCGGCTTCAAGGGCGCAATGCTCCTCGGCGGACCATGCCCTCGGACCGGTGATCTGATGACACTTAGGTGGGTTCAATTCTGTCGTAAAAGCATGTATCTGTGTGAGACTCACCTGTTGGAATAGCATCATGCATGGCAAGACCACTGAGAACAACAACATGTGGGCTGAGTCGTGTGATGAATGGGAGGTGGTTCATTCGTCATTCCAGAAGTTCATAGCGAAGTCGTTTGGTCAGTCTCATCTTATGTCCCAAGTGTTATTTTACTCACATTGATGCTCAGATCCGCTTCTTCCTAAAACTCTCCTTGAGCTCTACAACGACGGCACCCCACTTAACCCCGAGTCTGGCGGGACCACTGGCGGCGATGCGGAGCAAGGTTCGGGCGCCTCCGGGTCTTCCGCCGATGCGCAGGCTGCGCGTCTCTCGTCATCGACCTCGACCCCGTCCCCCAGCAGCCCCACAACTGCGGCATACAACCTCCCTTCTAACTCTGTGCTTGAATTCTCTCCCACTCGCTCCGAGAATGACGCGGCTTCCCCATCGCCCAGCTTGGGCTACGACGTCCGACGTGCTCTCAACATTGCTCGAAATCACGCGATTCTCAACGGCATCGTCAACGGACTTTCGTTGGAGGAGGCTAAAGCCGCCGCCGACAACGCCATCGACCCCGTCTCCTCCTCTACCATTGCTACTGGACCCTGGAAGATGCCGAATTGGATGGTTGAAGGTCTCGCTTACCTCAAGAGCGTCAACGAGGAGACATGGTGGCACGATCTAGTCGGGCAGTGGCTGGCATTTGAGGAGCATATGGCGACTGGGAACGGTGTACAGGTGTGTAAAGTCATCTCAGCGGCCGATCTGTCGTTTATTTTGCGTCGAAGTCCCAGAGAAAGTCCCTTCCAGCCAAAGGTCGCCCGGAAGTGGTCAAATATTGGCTCAGTCGCGGCCGTCAGTACATCGCCAACAAGCTGCCGACCGTCAAAAACCCATCTCTATTCTCGGCTACCTTCGAACGCTGGTGGCGACGTCTCCAGCCAGCCTGGCGCCAAGTCGAAGACGTCGGCCAGCCTCTGCCTCGGGAAGTTCCTCCTGACGGCTCATGGAGTGACCTTGCGTTGGGTGGGCCCAACGGCCTCTTCGTTGTCCTCATGTGTCTCGCGTGGTGGATCCAATGCAACGAAGAGCGAAGCGCCCTGCAGGAGATCGCTGAAGACTTCGAGTGGGTCCTGAAGAACCTCACCCCGAACGCGACACCCTCCACTCCTGATCCTTCGCACACACCCAACGAGTCATCGACTCTGACACCGCCTGCGGACCCCTTACCCTCTGCATCCCCCACCGCGTCAATGGACCTCGATCCTGCAAACTCGCTTCTCACCCTCACAACATTCAGGGGGGAGTCACGTTCGTCCCCCGTGCCATCTACGTCACTCGCCACGAAGACTTCTGCCCCCACAATGCCGTCCGCGCGGTTCGAGTCTCCCGACTCCTCTGCGGGTGCGCTCTCAGCCACACAGGTGGACACGTCGCCGCTGGGGCCGACAGGTTCCCCACCAACCCCGTCGCTGGAGCCCCTATCAACGTCCACCGACATTTCACCTGTGGTCACCACGGCTGTATTACAATGCCCCAGGTACATGGGAATAAGCTTTTGCTATTCCTGAGGGCGTTGTTATTGTAATAAACGTGGTGAGGTCTTTAACAATAACAACGCAAGGGGGTCTTGTAATAACTGGTGCTGAGGCTGTTAAAAGCAACGTGGGGTTGTTAAAACTGGCGTAGGGTTGTTAAAACTGACGTGGGGCTGTCAGAAAGGGTGCAGGGTTGTTAAAATCGACATGGGGCTGTTAAAACCGATGTAGGGCTGTCAAAAAGGGTGCTGGGTTGTTAAAACCGACGTGGGGCTGTAAAAAAGGGTGCAGGGCTGTTAAAACGGACGTGGGGCTGTAAAAAAGGGTGCAGGGCTGTAAAAAAGGGTGCAGGGCTGTTAAAACTGACGTAGGGTTGTTAAAACTGACGTGGGGTTGTTAAAATCGACGTGGGGCTGTTAAAACTGACGTGGGGCTGTCAAAAAAGATGCAGGGCTGTTAAAATCGACGTGGGGCTGTAAAAAAGGGTGCAGGGTTGTTAAAATCGACGTGGGGCTGTTAAAATCGACGTGGGGCTGTAAAAAAAGGATGCAGGGCTGTTAAAATCGACGTGGGGTTGTTAAAACTGACGTGGGGTTGTTAAAATCGACGTGGGGCTGTCAAAAAAGATGCTGGGTTGTTAAAAGTGACGTGGAGATATTACAGAATGTGCCAGCCTGTAATAACTGACGTAGAAGTATTACAGACCATGCTAGGCTGTAATAACTAACACCAGGGTCCCACTGGGACCTACCTAGCTATAAATAGCCTGGTTCAGGTACTGCTACAGATGGGCATTCTGGCAGGTATAGTGGGCTGGAATTGGGGATAAATGGTTAGCTAGAGATGAGTATGGCTAAAAGGATACGTTTGGGCTGGTATAAGCAGCTGGAATGGGGAGCAGTAGCTAGTATTTACCAGTAAATGGGCAGCCTGGGGTGCAGCACAGGGTGGGGAAATCGTCAGGCACTAGTTATTTATCAAAAGAGGCATCTAATAGCTTTCTAACAAATCCAAGATCATGTTGATTGGAGCAGTATTGGTGGAGATACAGATGTACCCCCGTTTTGGCCGATAGGAGCATCTGCTAGAATCAGAACTGGTGGATGGAATCCCCTGGTTCTTGTTGTATACCGTGTGGATTGCCTTCCAATGAGTGGGGTCGAAATCCGATCGGAGAAAACCCCCTTCATTACGGAATAGATTGCTGATTACGCTTCAGCCACAGCGCTTTTGATCTCTCAATAGCCACTTCCCATATGCTCCGATAAGTGTTCTTTTTTTTGCAGTCTTTTCCTCTACTCTACGGAAAAGTGTTCTAGGTGTCATTTTAACAAGAACAGCCCTCTGTACCTTCCTGTGCAGCTGTGCACACTTGCAGACCTTTGCCTCACCCCTCCATAACTACCCATTATATCACCATGGTGTCTTCTGTGTCGAATTGGCACTGCTCAAGGGCCCTAAGATATGTAAGGATCATACTTATCAGAACATGTTTGATAGTGTAATGCCCCTATCTGTCCCCCCACTTGCTCCCCTGATCCAATTATATGTGATACTCTGATAGTCTCTTGTGAAGTCGATCAGAACTCGCCTCGAACACAGCTACAAGATGCAGAAAGAACCATGTGAATCGGCCCAGAATTGGTGAAGATGTTCCATTGGAGCCCAGAATGCACCACTGGGCTACAAAGTGTGGGATGAAACCTCTTCACATAACACCCACTCAACCCTGCAAGGAATGGTACACTTGCCCCCACATGTGGCAGAGGTGCTAAGTCATATTCAATATCATCCTGAAACATGTTCCATGTGTTATTGCCATGGGTATATGTGTGTGTGTGCCCTATTTCACATTTGTGTAGAGTGAGGGGCATGGCTGTAGAGCAAAATGAGCCCTGTTTCAGCTGTAGACACTGTTACTTCCTGAGTTCTTCACCGATCTTCGTGATTGTACCTGCGTTGGATAGGTGTGTTCAAGCTCTTATCAGATCTACGTAGTGTACATTGATCGGAGATGGATTCATGTGCTGATGGGGGCAATGCATGGAGGAGAGATAAGGATGGATATAGCCTAAACAAAGACCGATAATGTTTTTATACTAGGAACATAAAGTATACCACAATGGTCAAACAATACAACAAGAACCAGATTGATAAATGGAGCGGTTATGGATGGGTGAGGCAAAGGTCTGCAAGTGTGCACAGCTGCACAGGAAGGTACAGAGGGCTGTTCTTGTTAAAATGACACCTAGAACACTTTTCCGTAGAGTAGAGGAAAAGACTGCAAAAAAAAGAACACTTATCGGAGCATATGGGAAGTGGCTATTGAGAGATCAAAAGCGCTGTGGCTGAAGCGTAATCAGCAATCTATTCCGTAATGAAGGGGTTTTTCTCCGATCGGATTTCGACCCCACTCATTGGAAGGCAATCCACACGGTATACAACAAGAACCAGGGGATTACATCCACCAGTTCTGATTCTAGCAGATGCTCCTATCGGCCAAAACGGGGGTACATCTGTATCTCCACCAATACTGCTCCAATCAACATGATCTTGGATTTGTTAGAAAGCTATTAGATGCCTCTTTTGATAAGTAACTAGTGCCTGACGATTTCCCCACCCTGTGCTGCACCCCAGGCTGCCCATTTACTGGTAAATACTAGCTACTGCTCCCCATTCCAGCTGCTTATACCAGCCCAAACGTATCCTTTTAGCCATTCTCATCTCTAGCTAACCGTTTATCCCCAATTCCAGCCCACTATACCTGCCAGAATGCCCATCTGTAGCAGTACCTGAACCAGGCTATTTATAGCTAGGTAGGTCCCAGTGGGACCCTGGTGTTAGTTATTACAGCCTAGCATGGTCTGTAATACTTCTACGTCAGTTATTACAGGCTGGCACATTCTGTAATATCTCCACGTCACTTTTAACAACCCAGCATCTTTTTTGACAGCCCCACGTCGATTTTAACAGCCCCACGTCGGTTTTAACAACCCTACGTCAGTTTTTAACAGCCCTGCACCCTTTTTTACAGCCCCACATCAGTTTTAACAACCCAGCATCTTTTTTGACAGCCCCACGTCAGTTTTAACAGCCCCACGTCGATTTTAACAACCCCATGTCAGTTTTAACAACCCCACGTCGATTTTAACAGCCCTGCATCCTTTTTTTACAGCCCCACGTCGATTTTAACAACCCAGCACCCTTTTTGACAGCCCTACGTCGGTTTTAACAGCCCCACGTCGATTTTAACAACCCTGCACCCTTTCTGACAGCCCCACGTCAGTTTTAACAACCCTACGCCAGTTTTAACAACCCCACGTTGCTTTTAACAGCCTCAGCACCAGTTATTACAAGACCCCCTTGCGTTGTTATTGTTAAAGACCTCACCACGTTTATTACAATAACAACGCCCTCAGGAATAGCAAAAGCTTATTCCCATGTACCTGGGGCATTGTAATACAGCTGTGGTGACCACAGGTGGACATTTCCCCGTCATTGCCCACCTCCACGACACCCACCACGGACACTACCACAGATCCAGACCAGACTGCCTCGTCTCCCTCGACCGCACCCGTCTCGTCCACTCCCATCTCGACTGCGCCCGTCTCGTCTGCGCCCGTCTCGTCCACGCTCGTCTTGTTCGCACCCGTCTCGACCTCCCCGACCATACCCGTCTCGTCTTCCATGACCACGCCCGTGTCATCGTTGCCGTCCCTGATGCCGCCCATTCCGACACCGGACTCGACAGCTACGTGCCCCCCGGTCGGCTTCTCGTCCGCGCCCGTCTCGTTCTCCCCGACCATACCCGTCTCATCTTCCACGACCACGCCCGTGTCGTTGTTGCCGTCCCCGATGCCGCCCACTCCGACACCGGACTCAACGGCTATGTGCCCCCCGGTCGGCTCTGCGCTCATGATGAATTATATGCCACCCCCGTTCCCAGGATTTTTCGCATCAGGAGGGGCGATCACCTCTGGTGGTGAGAGCGCCGTCGTCTCTAAGCGGGGCATAGACGACGACGAAGAGTTCCGTAGTCCCCCAGCGAAGAAGGCGAAAATGGCGAAGTAGCTCGATGTCGCTTTGCGGAGGGGGTGTGCACGTATATTGCAGGCTAATTGATAGCACTATGTGGAGCTGTGCCCTCGTGCGAGCACCGCGATGCGCGCACCATGATGCCTACTTGTGCCAGCACACGTCACGACACAAATATGCAATGGATACACGCGCTTGCGCCGTGGGGTGAGCACAAGTAACATGTGGCGGTGTATTGAGACTGTCAGCAATTCGCGCCATAGCAACGACCTGAACACTGGCAGTATTGACATTGGTGTCGCTGCAGTGCTGGTTATGACAGTAACTGGGGATCCCTGTAATAATGCCACAACAAAGACAACAGCGGCCAAAGTCGCTGTGATGATGTCATCCACTGACCACGATGGCTATGACAGGTATTCTTGTTTGCTGTGATAACAGTCGCGGTTATCACACAGAACCTCGTTCGCTGCGATAATGGTCATGGGTATGACTGGGTG